TACGCGAAGATATCTTAGGGGGTACGTGAAATTTAAAAAAAAAAATTATGATAAACACTGAATAATCAGTAATTAATTTATTTATTTATTTAATTTATTTTAGATGTAGATTATATACTATGTATAACTTGAATTAAACACCAACAACTTTGGGGGCACAAAGTTGAAGAGAAATTATATCTGGGGGTACACGAACAAAAACGGTACGGACTGAATTATTAAGATAACTGTCCCGCAATGAGCGGTTGTTTCTGAAGCCGTATCGCTTAGCTGTCTCAGCAGTCTTAACAAAACATTCAGTAGCATGTGTGGGACTGCTGGATGCATACTAACTTAACCAAACAGCTGTTAAACACACGACGTCAGTAGACGTCTCAAAACACGCCACCTCCTGCCTCGCTCCACCCCTCCCACGCACACACATACTAATGATGTTGCACCATATGTTTGCTGCATTGCTTTCCTTTCTAACGACGTACAAAAGAGTTTTCTAGACAGCGCAGCCGCGGTGTGAACTTTGTCTTATGGGTCGGCCAGGCTTAAAGGGAGGCAGTGGGATTCTTCCACGTGAACGCGCGCTCACAAAAATGTTGACTATATGAAGCGTACCGCAAAGAGAACACAGCACATCACCGCTACAAAGATCAACTGGTTAATTTTATTTAAAAAATAATCGCTGTTTAAGTCGTGAACCAGATGATCTTTTTAATGGTGAACACTTGTGTTTTCTTTGCGGTACGGACTGAATTATTATATAATATTTATACGAGCTTCGGCCTTCAGAGGGTTAACTGCGCACCAACTACCGTCTTTCGACTTCCTCGTTCAATTTCTGTAACGTACGAGGCTCGTCCACAAAGTAAGTTTCCCTGGGGCCGTTTACAGAAACAAAACACAATTTCATGGAAATATTTATTGCAACAGATACAGCAAGTGTCCAGCTATTTTTCAACATATTCGCCACCGGAATTGAGACATTGGTCATACCGTGGGACCAACTTTTGAATACCTGGGATACGAGCTTCGGCCTTCAGAGGGTTAACTGCGCACCAACTACCGTCTTTCGACTTCCTCGTTCAATTTCTGTAACGTACGACGTATATGACGCAGTAGGGCTCAGCTGTTCCAAATCGATACATTGCCAGTGAGTGAAAGTACTGACGCTCTGACGCCTGGGTCCACAGGGCTCTGTGTAGGTTACTTTCCTGGCGCAGAAACCAGCCTCATGACGCAGTCCTGTGTTTGCCAATATTTACGTTCTTATTTCGTAAGGAACATCTGCCCTCCTGACGTTGGGAGCTGTGAGGCTGGCAGATTGTCCCGTGCTTTTCTTGAACAGCAAATTACATGCCTAATACTGGGCGAGATTTCGGGTTCTCATGGCGTCGAGTAATAAGAATGTCTTCTGGGATGTTGCGCCGTCCAGTCTGACACAAATATGCCGACGTTTCGGGAGTGCTTGCTGCCTCCAACATCAGGGCAATGATGATGGAGGCAGGAAATCGTGTTTTTCTCTTGGAGCCTCTATAATATCACAGATTTGCCGTCACCAGTCTTCAGAAATAACTCCTGTGACCGGCAGGACCCGACGTATATTAAGTTAAGTTGTGTTTCCATAATGATGTTACATAAAGGTCTCAAGATAATTGTATCGAAACTGTTATAAATAATAAATCGGCAGATATTTCAGGTGCTCGAACTAGCTACACGCGATGAAGGACAAGTAGGGAGTTTACAAGATGATTTAGAGCACATGACATCAAAGTAACTGATCGTTTAAAAAAGGCAACCACGTAACTCCAGCCGGGATCCAAAAAAACAGTTTTTTTTAGTGAACCATTCTTGCATGAGTATTTCAATGTGCTCATGTGGTCAATAAATTTCCATCTTTTTTCAAACACATAATGTTCATCACCACGTTCACAAAAGTCTATCACTGGACTCCATCTTGAGAGTACTCGTCCCAGTTCACAATGTCACAGATCCACTTTAATATTATCCTCCCATCTACGTCTGGAGCGCCCTGATAATTGTAGCAGTAATGATCTTTGAAACGTCTGTCGATTTCTAGGGGCACTACACGCCGTAACGTCTCAGAAGCGAAAGAAATTCATATTCGCTGCCGTGAGAACCTGAAATCTCACTGTTGAGGTAAGATTACTTTTAATATTATCTTTCCATCTCATTATTCTTCTTTTAAGTAAACATATTCTGAGACGTTCCCATACCAAATTCCGCCTTTGTTTCACAAGTATTCTCCCACCATAAATCTTTCCAACCAACACTTATGAACATTTCTTGTTTCTCCATACGTGCAATATGTCCCGTCCATAACGACTCCAAAATGGGGTTAAAACCAGTGGAGCGGTTTCAAAGTTACACGTGTAAAAGTTTCCCGAACACCGAGATTACGCGACCAGGCATACGGTGAGCGGAAGGAGAAGCCGACCTTGACATGCCCGCTGAAGAAAGTGGGTCACTGCCAGAACGAAGGACAAACACGAATGCGAACTGTCACTTCCTCAGGCCTCATTATGGACACGGGGACAAGTTCACCTGTCCTCAGGGATGGGTTTATTGACTGACTTCTTACTTACGACATTTTTAAAGACGCCGCCAGATTAAATACTCCGTGAAAAACGGATGTGTATTGAACAATGATTTCTTTGTGTCGTGGCCTGATTTAAGATGCAGCAGACCCCACCAACCCACCCTCGTTCGCGGGAAAAATTATCGTGGTAATATCTGCGCAACGCGGCGTAGGTCCCTCGCTCTTTCACGGTAGCTCTTGCTTAAGCGCGCGCATTTGCTCGACTGTCTCAATAGCTACGTAAATATTGTGCCACACCGAGGGTTCTTCGACTGCATTTCTTCCAATTTTTAGAACTCATTTTTGTCCTTCTGTTCGATAACCCTGACAACTTTCAGCCAAGAACGCTGACGTCAGCCCAAGAAACACCAGTACTAATATTTTCATGTTTATTAAACATTGATTATGCGTAATATTCGTGTGTGTTTGGTTACCCTGACACCATTTTTTCGCGTACGGCCTTAATTTCCAACGCAAAGGTTCTGCCGTTCACGCTAAATTTCAAGGAGGCAACGAACGGCAAAAGACGTGGGTCCGGTACTGTTCCGGAATTCGCCTGGATAGACTGAGTAAAACCACAAAGAAATTCCGTCTCCGAGGTTAGATTTGAAGCCGGACTTCCCCGGATTGTGACCATTCGACTGCGATGTTCTGTGACTTCTGTTGAGTACTGAATAAACGCTTACTGTAAAATGACTACTTAAAGCCGAACAGGACACGAGATAAGTGAGAAACATTAAAACGAATTTTTGGATCGAAACCATTAAAACAGATCTTACAGAAACTGGGTGTGAGACTGGGGACTGGATTAAACTGGCCCAGAAGTATTGTGAACGGCTGTGTAAAATTATACCCTGTGGAAAATGGACAATATCTAACATAATATTACGAATCATTCACATATGATGATCTAACCTAGGACCTTCTAAGAGAGCACAAGGTCTCTCACTGACACTACCAGGTCTTAAAGAGGTCTTTGATGTATATATGTATAGTCCATGTGTACATAAGAGAAGTTTATTTACGAGTTACGCATTGGCCTAATTAGCAAGCTAAGCCAGAATGAGCCAAATAAGGCATTTTGCTTGCGGCATGGCTTTGAAAGGTGGAATTCGTTCATTAATTTAAGCTAACAAACTACCTCATTTCCTACGGCCAATTTGAATGTGCCTGCAGGTAACAACCTAACCCACTTCAGTCACACGTAGTTCATACTTCATTTCTTCGAAGCCTTTTATCGCCGCGATGATCCGATGTGATAATATCTGTAACAAATGTTCTGATATCAAGTAAGCAAACCTGTAGGTCGAAATCTGTCACGTGTGAACCACTTGCTGTTAACATAAATTCTGGCTGTTACAATTTTGTTCCCTTCTATTAACCTCAAAAGTCTTTCTTGGCTTGTTTATTCGTTCATTTAAAGGAGACACTGCCTAATGTCTTATTCATTAACGAAAAATAAATCACTTAACGGGACAAATGTAGCTACTAAGCGAATTAATTTCTTCGTAGTATGGAAGATATTAATCTCTAATCCACATCACTGACCAAACATTTCTAACATCAGAATTATACACATCACTGATTCGCCTACTCGACGTCTGTATCCGCATCCTACAACAAAATATTAGCTGAGCCCAAAACTTCTGATAAAGTGATCAGTGATAAGATACTGAGAACAAATAATGAAAAGCTGTGATTCAATTTGATTTTATTTCTTCATGCAAATTTTATTTAACGAGGCTTTCAGTAGCTGAGACGAAACAGATTCGAATGAGAGGCTGACAGTGAATAATGAATTGGAAAGGATGTGGAAGGTAGATGTCGTGGCCTAATTTAAGGTACTCTCTAGAATTTGCCTGGAGGGACTACAGAAAACAACGAAAGACCTCAGTCAGAATAGCAGGTCTCTGGGCCGAAATTTGAACGCTTCTACAAAGCGGGAGGTCTGACCACGATTTGATTTTAGAACAATTTTAGATTTTTGTTATTTTTAAATGTAGCTTGTAAGATTGGTTTCGAATTACTCTCACCTGTTTTAAAAGTCGGGTGTTAAGTAGATTAGTGTTAAGTAGATTAGTAGAATGCACCTGAACTGGTTTACTGTCATCTTTCAAATACAGAAATTATTTAAATACATCAACGTCATAAAACTTGTATTAATTAGTTTCACAAATTCCTTCAGGTCAAAGAAACTGCATATCTAGATCAGAGAGATTAGAACTATTCTCACGACACGATCATAGGACGAATAATAATCAGAAAACTTTCACAGCCTTCTAAATAGCAAACAACCAACTAGAGAAACCCTTGGTTTCTTATCCGGATTAATAGTATTTTGTTGCGAATAATTACATGGTTGATGTGGGAAGTGTCGCATTCTGGAAACGAGAGTAATTTTCCTACTTACCGTCTCCAACCCGTTATAGGGCGTTGTCTGAGCTCTTTCTCTGAAAGGCCCACGAGCCCAACGCAGGCCAGAATCCACGCCATCGTGAGCAACATGAAAATAGCCAACACCCTGAATGGAAGCACGATCACAGTGAATATCGCAGTCTGTAAGAAAGAAAACATAACGTTAAGAAATCTCAAAGGATGGTTTTTCTTCCGTAGTTTCAGAACATAATAAGACTTTGCTGGGAATAGTTTTCACGGTGTAAGCTTCCTTGGTGAAAGTTCTGTTGCCTGCGCATGCGAAACATGACTCCAGGTGTCTTTGATTAGGTTCTGAATCCATTTAAAGTTCCACGATTCAAATCTGTTACAGCTTCAAAATGTCTAAAATATTCGTCTCATACAGTCTGAATTTTAATAAACCACGCCGTGTTTTTTGATACAGAAATAATGTAAATCTAATCAGAGGGTTTGTAAATGTGATTTTTAACAAACAGCCCATAAAAATTATTAATCTTTAGTTACCTTTTACAAGATTATATAAACCTATAAACCTAGCCCCTCACCCAATTGGCATATTAATCGATCTGATGACGGAGGCAGTATGACCTCTGAAACGTTGGTTAACATCGACCAGACTACACAGCGCAACAACCCAGAAGACAGAAATCTTCATACTAAGATTCACCCTGATGATGGAGGCAGTATGACCTCTGAAACGTTGGTTAACATCGACCAGACTACACAGCGCAACAACCCAGAAGACAGAAATCTTCATACTCACCGCTGTGAAAACCTCAAAACCTCTCAAAGCTTCGTCCATTTTGTGTCGAACTGTTTCACTCCCAAATCGTTTAATTGTAAGACACTTTTTATCTCTAGATCTCTTCCGTGGTCTAATTATATGGCAACAAGATGATCTGTGATAATAACTTAACTCCTGTCTAGGTCATGTAAGTAAGACAGTTATTTAGAACTGTAGGACGTGCTTAATTTGCATTCAATTTGTAATAAGCACTGAGCAAGAAACTGTTAATTACTTCTCGCGTTGGTGTTAGTTCGTTTTAAAAGAAGAAGCCGTAAAGCAGATAAGGAAGACACGCACGCATCCATGCTCCGAATGCTAACAACGGACGCCATGATGCCCTGATTTTCAGCGCTGAACAAACAGAACTCAAGACGTTTCGCTCTGACACAGCGCCTGCCATTAATCATCCTCAGAGCACAGATCCTCAAGAACTGTAGCACAATTATTGTTTCCGACGTACAACAGCCACTTCCGTTCATATTCATTTCAAGTACGTCGACAGACGAAAATTCCTCAAATTTAATAAATTATAATTGCCAATTCGTAGTTGACCGCTCATCCCTATCTAGTGCTGATGTTAAGAATGCGTAGAGTAATACCTCCATTCTCCCAAACGTCTAAATGGCGTAGTTCTTAGTTAAGGACCAAGGGAAACTTTGCCTTTTACCTATGAATTTACGAAATCATGTTTGGACCTAAGATGGATTAAGTAGGCTTGTAGGAAACTGGAATAAATTCCATAATGAAAAGTTTCATAAATCGTACTCATCAAATATTATCAGGATGATTAAACTGATATATTATTTATATCAAAAGTAATTTAAACTACTGGAAATCGATTGAAGTCTTGATTTGAAAAAAATGAGAGGAGTCCAGAGAATGTTCATTGATTATTTCCGCCATTGATAACTCAGCGTTTTCTAGCCTTTCACTGTATTGCTCCATTATTCTATTTACAAACACAATTACAAGCACTGCGTTCCTTATCAGCTACAGCCCAGGGTGTAAACATAATGCTCGTGATAAGTTAGGAAGGATTTGCCGAAACAACTAACAACAAGCAACAGGAAGTAAATGGTAGGCGACACGCAATATAATATCGCCTGTAGAGACTCGTACCAAAGCAAACAAATTGCCAGTTTGTGAAAATGTCGGAGAACGAAATGATCACCGCACGCGGTATACTATACACTTTATATTAACTTATTGTTTCGTGATTCTTCAGTAGCCTTATTACCGTCACTGGATGTAACAATAAGCCACTGCAGACTACCTCCTCAGCGATAGGCAATGTGCATTGACTGGCGATGCGAAAAAGAAACGTGATTTCGACGCGAATCGTCCGTCTGCCAATGAGCGACAGTATTAAAAATTAAATCGCAGTCTGTCCGGTGTAAACGGTTCACGC